TTCTTCTTCAACAATTGCCATCAAGGCCAGATTCTCTTCCTCATCAGAATCATCCATCCAGTGATCCTTTTCAGCCATGAGGGCACTCTTCTCACTACTCTCTTCCATTGCCAGCAACATCTTCTTTTTGTTCAGATACATCTTCTGCTTATAGTATTCAGCATCCTTCCTCCTCTTTGGCATCCTGCAATCCTTCATCAGATGTCCAGTCTTCCCACAATTGAAGCACTTTGGAGCATCCTCAGCAACAATATTCTCAGAAGAATCAAAAGATCGCTCTTTTCTCTTGTTGTTGCTGGAAGAGGACTTGCGGAGTCTGTTGTTAGAGGGGTTCTTCTTCTTCTGCATTTGGTTGTTGAACCTTGAGGTAAGAAGGGCTATCTGCTTCTGAAAATCACGCAGCTCATCATCATCAGACTCATCCCAAAAACCAATGTCGCTGTCTGCGCTCTCACTCTCTTCTGCAATCATCTTATCCTTCTTGGAGCCAGACTTCGATGGCTTGTCAAGCATCAGGGCAAGGGTGTCTGCAAGCTTGTCCACAGCTCCCTTCCCTTTATCAGCTGTTACAGAGGCGACCACGAAGTCAGAAAAATCTTCCGCATACTGGTCAAGAGTATTGTACACAGCATGGATGTCCATTTCATCAAGGTCTTTCGTGTGCCTTATCTGTGAGCTCAGCTTCTTCCAGTCAGCTCCAAGAGAAGATAGAAATCTCACGTTCAGTTCCATATTGGACTTATGCACGCCAATCTTTCTCATCTCATTTATCAATTGCAGAAATCTCAGATAGGTGTCTTCGAGTGATTCTCCAAGCTTGGCTTTGAATGAGTCATAAGCAGTGAATGTGCTAGCCTTCTTTGCTTTTACTCCGATCTCAGTGCCTTGCATGATCTTGAAGATCTCATCCCACATCTCTTTTGCAGTTGACATGCTGTCAATCTGCATGTAGATGTCGTTCGGGATGGCCTGCAACAGATAGGTCTTGGCAATGAGATCTGCCCGGAGTCTTGCTCTATCCTCATCATCATATTCATCTACCGTCTTTGCTCTCCATTCAATCTCCACCGGTGGGTTGTTTCCATTATCTCTTTCAACTGCTATCATCAATTGAGCAGGTCCATTTGTGATAGAGTCAAGAAGACCTGAGGATTGGTCCTTGCTCTCAAGAAAGTTCAAGAATCTGTTCTTCCATACGTTGTACTCACCCCTTCGCAGGATTGGGGGTCTTGTATCATTTCCGATTGATAATGCGTCCATGTTAATATTGATCGGGCTGATCAGTTGATTAAAGGGGTCCTGTTCAGTTGTTTGATAATTCAGGCAGAAGGTTCTTGTACAGTACAGGTCAAAATCGCGCAAGGTATTGAAAGATTGCTCCAAGTTGTAGAAGGATCGCTCAACTTTTGGAAAGATCTCTCAGCTCTAAATAAAAGATCGCTCAACAAGAGGAATATCGCTCAACTCCTAATCGCGCAAGGACAAGATCGCTCAAATCTCTAAATGGTGCAAGTCCTGAATCGCGCAGGAGTACTTGCGCGATTTGAGATCGCGCAGGAGGATGGCGCAAAGGTGAGATCACGCAAGTATTGTTGCTCGAAGCTCGAAATTGCTCAGATGCTCAGTTGCGCGAACCTGTTCTTCTTTCAGATGCGTTGCGCGAAACTGCAGAATCTCTCAAATCTGGCCTAACCTGTACGCTGAGTTTCAGATAGCGGTTTTCTCCAGGAATGATCCTAGCAACAGTAGAAACCTTATCCTTCAGCCATTTTCCTGTAAAAACAACAACAAAAATAGAACCAGAGATCGCTCAAGTGCAAAATCTTCGCCGATGAAGAATCGCGCAGGAGTGATTTTCAGCCTTCAATCGATCGATCAGCTCCGACTTTGATACCAGATGTTAGGTCCCTGTTTTCTAGTCTATAATGTGTATGTATGGAAGACAGAACTGAGAATGAAGCTTTCCATTGATGTGATGAAAAAGTTTACAGAATGATATGAAACTTAAGCGTAAAACTTCTATCACGAGAATAGGCACTGCGGCACAGAGAATGTTGAAAAGCTTAACCTAGCCTTTCCCTTAAGGCATATATATAGCCTGACGGGAAAGGTAGGTTTTACAATCATTTGGGCTCCTTTTTCTAGGAGGCCCATACCTAAAAAGGCATGTAAGCCTTTATTACAATTTGCCTTAAAAGGCCTATTCATTATTCTAGCTAGTCTATTAATTTATATCAGCTAAATACAAAGAGCTAAGATACATTGATCACAATATAATGAAAATATCTCTAACATATATATATATATATATATATATATATATATATATAGAGAGAGAGAGAGAGAGAGGAATGTTCATGTCAGGCCGGCCTGACAGGCTGCTCCGTCCGGCCGAGCCCGTTTGGGCACCTTCCCGATGGAATTTTTTGATGAAATTTTTTGAGCATGTTCCTTATCAAGTCTAGTTTGTCCATACCAAATTTCAGCTCAAAATTCGATCGGGAAGGCATTCAAATCATTTTTTGAAGTTGACTGCAGTTTTATATGTATATTTTGACGCAGTCAACTTCAAAAAATGATTTGAATGCCTTCCTGATCGAATTTTGAGCTGAAATTTGGTATGGACAAACTAGACTTGATGGGGAACATGCTCAAAAAATTTCATCAAAAAATTCCACCGAGAAGGTGCCCAAATGGGCTCGGCCGGACGGAGCATCCCGTCAGGCCGGCCTGATGAGAAGAGCACTCTATATATATATATATATATATATATATATATATATATAGAATAGAGATCAAATACAAAGCCTTCTTAATTTACAAAGTACAAACTCATCTTGACCGTCCGATGAGTTGATCCAAAGGACATAAAGGCAAGGTGGCATTTTTGTAATAAAACTCAACTTTTTAGGGTGCAACTCGTTGCACCTTAATGTGCAACTGCTATTTTTATGACTTTATAATGTGCAATACTTTGAACCTCAATATGCAATGCAAATAACGTCAAGGTGCATCGTACAAATATTTGCACAATAAGCACACTTTGTACTTGATCTTTCCCCTATATATATATATATATATATATATATATCTAACGAATCCAAAATAGTGGTGTATTTAAGACATTCTTCAAAAAATTCAAGAACAAAACAATACGTTTATTGTTTGAGTTCTACATAATTCTAGAGTTTTCTAAAAATAATACTAAATAAACGGTATGGACAAAAATATGATCACTTTAAAAAATCACTAAAGGCAACCCTCGACAAAGGCAAGGGGATGCTTCACGAGGAAGATGCCATGCACAAGATCAACCAAGAACCCCACCCCCCAACACTTTTTTCTCCTTCAAAACTTTCAGTAGACATGAATTGTATTTAAACAGGGGCACAACATGATTCATGTACAAGTGTACAACAATTAAAATCGCTACCAGAATAGAGGACAGAAAAGTATTTTATTAAAATTTTAAAATTGAAAAAAAAAATTGAATCTGAAAGGTTGGCCAGAAATCTGGTTAGAATGAATTTTCAAGTGTAGGAAATAGGAATATACATCAACAGTGTGCACTTTATGCAAATACTATACCTATAAGCTTTTTACATACACAGATGAGAGACATCATGGTTTCACCATTGTCAACTGCCAAACCTAGCATTCTAGCAAAGATCTCAAAATTCCTATGAATGAAAACTCAAGTTCCATAAAAATGGAAGTGTTCTGTGCATCTCACCATCATGTCTAGAGTGGGTGGATTGACCAGTTTAACGGAGGTGACAACAAAAATTAGTGTAAGCTATTCCTTACAGCCACCAATAGGTTTCTAACTCCATCAACAGATTTTTTTTTAAGAAATGGCAGCATTGACACCTAAGTTGTCAGTTCACAGGATCACACTGAGATTTCCAGTGACGTGGAGGTCTCTCTAGTCTTGGTGGAAGAAACCTTGTCTGAAAACAAAAAAAAAAATATCATGAGATTTTTTGCAATCTTATATTTGAAACTAATTTCCCATCATTTCCAATGGAGCTAAAAACTCACTATTTTTTGGCTTGGGAATATCATGGAATAATATAAAATGGCTCACTTAACTGTCTGCGCTTCTTTGTTATAAAGAAGAGGTCAGTCCATGGTTTATCTCGAAACAGTCTCATTGTGCTTTAGTACCATGGTAAGGAAGCGTACATCCGACCACCCTTACCTTACTGTAGGTGGGACCCCTACGGTGGGGTAAGGGTGGTCGGATGTACACTGCCTTACCCCTGTATTAAAGCAATGTTGTTTTGCGTTGTATATTTGAAACTAAATGGAGCCCATCACCTCATATATCAATCTACCCAAGGGCAGAAGTTGAAGCAATGGCACTATATGAAAAGTACCAAAGTGCCCACTATATACCCCCCCTGCCTCATAAGTTGGCCATAACATTTAAAGGCAGATAGTGTGTGACACCGCTCCCGAAGGTCCTTGAAAATTTGATTTAAAATTCAAAGTTTATGTATTGAATTTCCGATTTCAAAGCAATGGAAGAAACGATTAATATTTTACGAAGTACGCGATTGAATATTGTATTGTTCAAACCCGTATTCTTTTATAATTTTCATCATGTAAATTATTGGGATGATCCTACACATATTGGAGATCAATAATGTGATTTAGGAAGTTGACTTGTTCTAAATAAATTAGGATGAGTGCAAAAAGACATCTTTTGACAAAGATAAAACAATAGGACCCATTTCCCCCATTTTTGGAAGTATTGGTAGATAATTTGGACCCCAAATTAATTGGGATCAATTGGGAACCACTCCACATGATTATAGTACCTGCAAAACAAGAAAAATAAGTGAGGAGACTTACCTTGGCCGCACAAGCTGGAGGAGGGCTGCACAAGACTTGATTGGAATCAACCTTGAGACCCACCTTGTCTATTTCCGCACAAATCATGGGTGTGTTTTGTCTCCCTTCATTTTGAGAGTTGTACTCGTCCAAATGAGGTGTATAAGGTGTCCTTGGATAGCCTTTGAAGTGTAGTTTCATAATTGAGTGGCCTTTGTTCGAGTAGAGAGAGCAATCATCCAAAAATCGATCTGGAACGAGCAGTGGTCTGTGAACTCGAGCTGTGGGAGTGCTGAGACTGTTTGGTCGATATCTCGAGTTTTACAAATCCAATTAAGGCGTGTGAGATACCCACAGAAAGCTCTCAAGACGAGGAATCCGTGAAAGTCTGGTTTGCAGGAATCGGAGTTGTGGAAGGCTTCCAAATCGTCCGAGCAAAACACAACCTCGCAGGAGAGGATTTGATCTTCTAAAAGTGAGTTTTAGCCCCAAAACTTTACTTTTCATTTTCCAAATGATATGAACGATTGGTGGGACTATCATACACTAATCCAAGTGTATAATATGTCCTTATAAAGTTATTTTATTGATGTAAAGGTTAGATACTAACCTAGAACAAATCTTGGAAAAACTAGGAAACGAGTTGACCGGGAAACACCCGTTCTAGGGGCTGTTTTCGTATCAACGATTAAGGGTTGAACTAGCACTTTGAGGAGGCTGTTTAACACTCATACTTGAGCAAGGAATCAGTTCCAAATCCACCTTGACCAAAGCTTTGACCATTGGACCAAGAAGGGAAAGTTTAAAGCTCAATTGAGGTGAGGATTGACATCTAATTGCTTACAACTTGTAGGTTAAGCATGAGATTACCTAAATGCTTAAATCATGATTTTTCATGGATTATGATGATTATATATTGATGAAATATTGATATAGTTGCCAAGGAATGAAATTTGAAATGATTTGAGAAGGTATGAATAATATGAGATTAAATGAGTATAAATGAACTATTTTGTGAAAATGGGCATTTTGCTCATGTATGAATTATGTGGATACATAAATGAATATTTGTGTATTGAGATTGAATACTTAAGTTGCTGCTACATAATTATAAATATGTAGAGAATTACAAATAATGAGGATAATGGTATGATAACAATAATCTTAATAGTATTGAAATACTAGTTAGTGATTATTGGAACTTGTTGATTAAATTGATCCTAGGGATTGGATTGTATGAAAGGTACTTGAATGTAGTTCAAGTGTATATAATAACTTAGTTTGGAACTAAGGTTAAGTTATGGGAAGTCTTTAAGGATGACCCAAAGTAGTTTAATGATATGTCAATTCTAGGCATAGGGTTGCTTGAGAATTGGACCTTAATGCATGGTGATGTAATAGAGCCGAGCTCTAGAATGCATGTAAGGTGTAGACTTGGAGTCTATGTATTGTATAGCTAGAGCCGAGCTCTAGAATGCATGTAAGGTGTAGACTTGGAGTCTATGTATTGTATAGCTAGAGCCGAGCTCTAGGACTTGCGTGGTGATGTAATAGAGCCGAGCTCTAGAACGCAAGGTAAGGAAATTGACCCGAGGTATATGAATTGTATGGTGATGTAGTAGAGCCGAGCTCTAGAATACAATGTCATGTACTAGGGTTGGACTCTAGGAGTTGTCGTGGCTTTTAGTCACGGGGTTGGGAATGGTGATTTCCAAATGAACATGGGCCCACGGGCCGGCTACTTGACTTTTATATAAAGTAAGTATATTTTTAAACGGGGTAACTTAGGGTTACAATCATAATATACTATCACCCTATTTGAGGGTCTTGTGTTTGAAATACTTGTTGTATATCTATTAGATGCCTGCCACACCAGCACTTTATAGCCCTATAGAGTGCTGACCCCTTCGGGGGCGTCCCACCACCATTTTTCAGGTTGAGGCTAAAGCTTGCTTCCTGTGCTCGTTGCTCGAGAGATCATCTAGGAGCGAAGACTTGGTTCGTGCTTCCTCCATTCGGATTTTAAACATTAATAAACATGCTCATGGATATTTTATTATAGAGCCTGCGTGCTCATGATTAGCCCTGTGTGGCCCTTTTGTTTTAAACAATGTTTTCCGCTGCTTTATGAATTACTTATTATGTTGTTTATGGATGACTTATGTGTGAATGATATTCATGACGCCTTGTATAAGATGAATGTGTTGGACTGCGGTCGACTATTCGTATTGTACGGCGGGTTGTTGACGTGTCCGGGGAGGTCCGGGGCGTGACAATTAAGTTGGTATCAGAGCCTTAGTCCATAAACTTCATAATGAAGTCTCAAAATTCTCTTTTTGAAAAGATTTTGAAAACCATGAGCATAGAAGTTTTGTACTTGGAGAGCTTTTGGTACTTGGGTTGCAAGGTCTCTAATTGTTAAGATGGTACCCTTAGCAATTGGTATGGCGGTGACTCGAGCCAAAATGTGTCTTAAGTACCTATCCGTCAATTGACATTTGATACGAGTCTAACGACTCCTTCCAAATTTCTTTCAGAAATGGACCGTGGTGGCAGGATTACTAGGAGAAACCCGACTGGCCGTGTACCAGTGGAGACTGGACAGGGCAGTCGAAGGACCTCTAGGGCATCTAGAGGAGCTGGCCGTGGAGGCCGGTCACAGACCGTGAGTGACGGTCATGTCGACACGGAAAGTGAAACCTACTGGTCCTATGAGGACTCGACCTATCGACCGGAAACTGAACCGGTTGAGACCCCTTATGAAGGGGATGATGATGATGTAAGTGATGAGGAGGAAAATGGCTCCTTAGCACGGATTGAAGCACTACTTCAACAGTACCACCGTGAGCGTGAGGAGAGGAGGGAACGCCGAAGGCGCCGGGCTGGGCAACCTTCGGGCGGGGCTTCAAGAGGGAGAAGCCATGGCGACTCTAGGGCCCACACTGAACCACATGGGGGTCGGGGTGATGGAGGTCCGGTCATAAGGATCTCCAAATACATCAAAGAGGCACGAGACTTGGGGTGCAAACCGTTCGATGGGACGGGTGACATCTCCGTTTCGGCACAATGGATTAAGCGGCTGAATGAGGCAGCCCTGGACATGCAACTCACCCCCGAATATAAACTAAGGGTTGCGGTGAGATTGCTTGAAGGTATGGCATCCAAGTGGTGGGATGGGACCAAAGGCAAATATGGCGAGACTGTCACTTGGGAGGATTTCCGACAGGAATTCTTTGCCCAATATTACTCGGACTTTGAGGTGAACAAGAAAGTGAGGGAATACACCCTTCTAACCCAAGGGGGTAACATGACGGTGAGGGAACTTGAGTACAAGTTCAGGGATCTTTCCGATTACATACCTGAGTATGCTTGCGACGAGAACCGGATGGTGAACCACTTCTGGGATGCTCTAGACTTGGAGATACGTGACAGGGCAACACAATTGCCTAACATGACGTTTGCCCAAGTGGTTGACCAAGGGTTGAAAGGAGAGAAGCAATGGGAAGAAAGGAAGAAGAGAGACGCCGAGGAGGCGAAAAAGAGAAAGTGGGAGAGTCATGGCTCCCAAGGTTCCAACAAAAAGGGGAACCACGGGGGAGGATCTTTCCGGGCACCACCGCCACCATATAGGGGGAACCAAGGCCCGAGTGGGCAAGGCGCGAGGTCACAAACCTCAGTGGTAGCTCGTTGCAACAATTGCAAGAAGAACCACTCCGGTAAATGTCGCGACCCCCCTAGATGTTTTCAATGCGGGGATGCCGGGCATTTGAAGGCACATTGTCCACAATTGAGTGGGGCAAGGACATCGGGACCAAGTAGTGGCCCGACGGGTACGCGGAATCAACCCGGGGCTTCTCAAGCAAGCCGGGGACATGGGGGAGCAAGTGCGAGCAACGCGCCATCCGTGAACCACGGGAGGACCCAGGCTAGGGTCTATGCGATGACGGAGGCGGATGCTCAAGCTAACCCGGACTCCGTCGCAGGTATTGCCTCTCATATACTAGTGTTTTATCCTTAATTAGTCCATAAATTGGGGATACTAATCGCTAGGATCATTGCACGAGGTTTTGGGGTCGAACCGGGGGATTTCGGGCAACTTCAGGCGGCTGGGACCCAGGCACGATCGTGCCTAAGGCAGACACGATCGTGCCTCCAAGTCAGTAGCTGCCCAGGAATATTCCCAGCCCAGGCACGATCGTGCCTAAGGCAGACACGATCGTGCCTACAAGGCAGTGGCTGCCCAGGGCTTTTCTCCAAACCAGGCACGATCGTGCCTAAGGCAGACACGATCGTGCCTCCAAGTCAGTGGTTCCCAGGATTTTTCCAACCCAGGCACGATCGTGCCTAAGGCAGACACGATCGTGCCTCCAAGGCAGTAGCCCCAGGGCGTTTTCCTGAGCCAGGCACGATCGTGCCTACCCCGGGCACGCCGTGCCTGGCACCCAGATTGCCGAAGCCCGATTTTTTTCGCATCGTTTTGCGACGTTAAGGCCTCTTCTTGATCCCTAACGTGCGTGTGAACATTGCAACCTTCTATAAATAAGTAGGGAGGGTAGGAAAGATGTCTTACATGGTTCATGAATGTAGGGACACTAAAGATTAACGGGAAGGATGCACGAATCCTTATCGATACCGGAGCGCAACGTTCATTCGTGAGTGAGGCGTTTGCCGAGAGCTTAGAGATGCAATCAATACCAATGACACAAACCTTAGTGGTATCAACCCCACTAGGGGAAGACGTTGAAAGAAACAATTACTATCCATCTTGTATGGTGGAAATCGGTGGCCAAACCTTGACGTGTGATTTCGTACCGCTGAGTATGATGGAGTTCGATGCAATCCTAGGGATGGATTGGCTAGAAAAGCATCATGCTAGGGTAGATTGCTACACAAAGGTGTTGGAACTCGAAGGCACACAGGGGGACACCCTACGCTTCGAGGGGGACCGCGGCAAATCAAATAGTTGTATCATATCCGCCGTGAGAGCGAGAAATATGATGAGGAAGGGATGCCACGCATATCTAGCATACGTGGTTGACAAAACCAAAGAGGAAACGAACATCGATGATGTGAGGGTGGTTTGTAAGTATCCGGATGTCTTCCCTAAAGACCTACCGGGGCTTCCACCTGATAGGGAGATTGAATTTGTGATCGAGGTTGAGCCTGGTACCAAACCAATCTCCATACCGCCATACCGTATGGCACCCGCTGAACTTAACGAGTTGAAAGCCCAATTGCAAGAGCTTTTGGATAACGGTTTCATTAGACCAAGCCACTCCCCGTGGGGAGCACCAGTTCTTTTTGTGAAAAAGAAAGACGGGACACTTCGAATGTGCATTGACTATCGTCAACTGAACAAGGTCACAATCAAGAATAGGTATCCGTTGCCTAGGATTGATGACTTGTTTGATCAACTACGAGGAGCAACCGTGTTTTCGAAGATTGACTTGAGATCGGGGTACCATCAATTGAAGATTAAGGAAGACGACATACCAAAGAGTGCTTTCCGCACAAGGTATGGGCATTTTGAGTTCCTGGTTATGTCGTTTGGGTTAACAAACGCCCCGGCGGCATTCATGGACTTGATGAACCGAGTATTCCATAAATACTTGGATCGATTCGTGATTGTGTTCATAGATGACATCTTGATTTACTCAAAGAGTGAAGAAGAGCATGAGGAGCACTTGATACTTGTCCTTGAAACACTACGGGAGAAGCAACTCTATGCCAAATTTTCTAAATGTGAATTTTGGCTAAAGGAGATTGGCTTCCTCGGGCACGTGGTTTCGGGATCGGGGATTGCTGTTGATAACAAGAAGATAGAAGCCATTACTGAATGGGAGAGGCCAAAGAACGTCAAGGAAATTCGTAGTTTCCTTGGATTGGCAGGCTACTATAGAAAGTTCGTGGAGAAGTTCTCTGTTTTGGCATCGCCATTGACGAAGCTCACTCGTAAAGGAGCTAAGTTTGTATGGGATGACAAATGTGAGAAAGGGTTCATGGAACTAAAGAAGAGATTGACTGAGGCACCGGTACTTGCATTACCCAAACAAGGTGTGGGGTACGATGTCTATAGCGATGCGAGCATCCAAGGGCTCGGATGTGTACTGATGCAGAATGGGAGGGTAATCGCCTATGCTTCACGACAATTGAAGAAGCATGAGGTGAATTATCCTACTCATGATTTGGAGCTCGGGGCAGTGGTATTTGCACTGAAGATATGGAGACATTATCTCTACGGGGAGACATGTCACATATACACCGATCACAAGAGCTTGAAGTACGTGTTTACTCAGAAAGAGCTAAACATGAGACAGAGACGGTGGATGGAGCTGATAAAAGACTACCATCTAGTGATAGAGTATCACCCAGGCAAGGCAAACGTGGTGGCAGATGCTTTGAGCCGGAAGAGCTCGTCTGGGGCATTGATAACTAATTTGAGGGCATTAAGAGCCCAACTGGAGATAACCAGCGATGGTGCCTTATTGGCACGATTTGAGGTGAGACCCACTTTACTTGATGAGATCAAGAAGGGTCAGGAAGCCGACGAAGAACTTATGAAGGTCCGGGAACGCATGCAAGCGGGGCCGGTGGAGGATTTCAGGGAAAGAGATGATGGTCTCTTGTTATTTCGTGACCGAGTGTGTGTACCGTCAGATGATGAGCTCCGAAAGTCCATCTTAGAGGAGGCTCATTCATCGGCTTATGCCATGCACCCGGGGGGCACGAAAATGTACCGTGATTTGAAGGAAAGTTACTGGTGGTCTGGAATGAAGAGGGAAATAGCCGAGTACATCAGTCGGTGCCTTACTTGTCAACAAGTTAAGGCAGAACATCAGCACCCAGCAGGCTTATTGCAACCACTTTCCATTCCTGAATGGAAGTGGGAACACGTGACTATGGATTTTGTGGTAGGGTTGCCACGGACAATCAGGAACTATGATGCAGTTTGGGTTGTCGTAGATAGGCTCACAAAGAGTGCACACTTCTTGCCTATCAACACTACTTACCCACTTGAGAGGTTAGCCAAATTGTATACGGATGAGATCGTGAGGCTGCATGGGGTCCCAGTGACCATTGTATCTGACAGAGACCCACGATTCACATCACGTTTTTGGCCAAAATTTCAGGAGTCTATGGGAACGAGGTTGAAGTTCAGTACTGCTTTCCACCCACAGACGGATGGGCAGTCTGAAAGAGTCATACAGATCCTAGAAGACATGCTGAGGGCTTGTGCATTGGAGTTCCAGGGAAGTTGGGACAACCACTTAGCACTTGTGGAGTTTGCCTATAACAACAGCTATCAGGCAAGCATCGGCATGCCTCCATACGAGGCATTGTATGGGAGGAGGTGCCGTACACCATTATGCTGGGACGAGGTTGGCATGGCCAAACTCGAGGGTACTGAGTTGGTTGAGGTCACCAAATCAAAGGTGAAGTTGATTCGAGAGAGACTCAAAGCGGCTCAGGATAGACAAAAGAGTTATGCAGATAAGCGTCGAAGAACCTTAGAGTTTAAGGTTGATGACGAGGTATTCTTGAAAGTTTCTCCTTGGAAAGGGATCATTCGGTTCCAGACCCGAGGAAAACTTAACCACGATATATAGGTCCATTTAGGATTATAGAGAGGATTGGAGCCGTTGCATATCGTCTACAGTTGACTCCTGAGTTAGAGAAGATACATAATGTGTTTCATGTATCCATGCTTAAGAAGTATGTGCATGATCCTTCTCATGTGTTGGAGAAGCCGCCCGTGGAGGTACGTGAAGATTTGAACTATGCCGTGCAACCGGTAAGAGTTATTGACAGAAAAGTGAAGAAACTGAGGAGTAAAGAAGTTCCAATGGTTAAAGTCCTTTGGAAAAGTGACCGGGTCGAAGAAGAGACTTGGGAAACAGAAGCTTTGATGAGGAAGCAGTATGCATTCCTATTTGAGTAGGGCTGTGAATTTCGGGGACGAAATTCCTGTTAAGGGGGGGTGAACTTGTGACACCGCTCCCGAAGGTCCTTGAAAATTTGATTTAAAATTCAAAGTTTATGTATTGAATTTCCGATTTCAAAGCAATGGAAGAAACGATTAATATTTTACGAAGTACGCGATTGAATATTGTATTGTTCAAACCCGTATTCTTTTATAATTTTCATCATGTAAATTATTGGGATGATCCTACACATATTGGAGATCAATAATGTGATTTAGGAAGTTGACTTGTTCTAAATAAATTAGGATGAGTGCAAAAAGACATCTTTTGACAAAGATAAAACAATAGGACCCATTTCCCCCATTTTTGGAAGTATTGGTAGATAATTTGGACCCCAAATTAATTGGGATCAATTGGGAACCACTCCACATGATTATAGTACCTGCAAAACAAGAAAAATAAGTGAGGAGACTTACCTTGGCCGCACAAGCTGGAGGAGGGCTGCACAAGACTTGATTGGAATCAACCTTGAGACCCACCTTGTCTATTTCCGCACAAATCATGGGTGTGTTTTGTCTCCCTTCATTTTGAGAGTTGTACTCGTCCAAATGAGGTGTATAAGGTGTCCTTGGATAGCCTTTGAAGTGTAGTTTCATAATTGAGTGGCCTTTGTTCGAGTAGAGAGAGCAATCATCCAAAAATCGATCTGGAACGAGCAGTGGTCTGTGAACTCGAGCTGTGGGAGTGCTGAGACTGTTTGGTCGATATCTCGAGTTTTACAAATCCAATTAAGGCGTGTGAGATACCCACAGAAAGCTCTCAAGACGAGGAATCCGTGAAAGTCTGGTTTGCAGGAATCGGAGTTGTGGAAGGCTTCCAAATCGTCCGAGCAAAACACAACCTCGCAGGAGAGGATTTGATCTTCTAAAAGTGAGTTTTAGCCCCAAAACTTTACTTTTCATTTTCCAAATGATATGAACGATTGGTGGGACTATCATACACTAATCCAAGTGTATAATATGTCCTTATAAAGTTATTTTATTGATGTAAAGGTTAGATACTAACCTAGAACAAATCTTGGAAAAACTAGGAAACGAGTTGACCGGGAAACACCCGTTCTAGGGGCTGTTTTCGTATCAACGATTAAGGGTTGAACTAGCACTTTGAGGAGGCTGTTTAACACTCATACTTGAGCAAGGAATCAGTTCCAAATCCACCTTGACCAAAGCTTTGACCATTGGACCA